CCCCAAAACCCCAAAACCCCTAAACACTAAATCAAGTTGGCCAAAATAAAAATGATTTCACAAATATCTGTGATATATTAATAAATATTTTAAGATTTTTAGGTTCATAATGTCTGGAAATCAAATGAATCAGTTTGAAATGAAGTAAGCATCAAACCTTAAACAAGGGTAATTATTCCAGGTCAAAGGCTATATTCTCAAAGTTTAGGCTTTAACAGTTCTGTCCAAATCAATTTTTACTTTAGTATTACGATCAGAATTAGCATCTGCAATTTTCATTAATTAGAAACTGTCGATATCATCAGAGTAATATATGGCTACTTAAGTCACCCAATTGTCATTGTCAGGTGATCCCTAAATAATAAGGTTATCCCAATATTCATCTATTGTTGAAGATATCTAGATGTATTCTGATGTGTTTGCAAATAAAGGACACCAAGCAGATCCCTGACCCTATTATTTTTGGAAGTCAGTGTCAAGACGAGAATGTGTGACCTCCCAACTCGGAAAACTAGATGAAGAGGTTAATCTGTAACCATTTTAATTTGCTCCATTTAATCTAGCTGCTCTATGAATGTCTCCATAAGCAAGAAATGAAATTGAAGCCACAAATATAAACTTGCAAACCCAATGCAGTTTTAGAATATTGAAGATTTTCCCATTGACTTTAGTCACATCAATCTTAATTTTCATAAAGTTTTCTTCAATTCTACTATACAATTAAGTTTCATATTCTTCTGGAGTTTTCTAAATAATGTCATTAAGTTTTTGATACCACATTTTCTTAAACTTCTTAGAAAGAGCCTTCATTACTACTTTGTTTTTCTCTATCTATAAAATTAATTGAAAGCTTTTTTATTTATCAAGAGCTATTGAATCCCTTCTCCTTGACGAATACATTTCTTACGAGGCAGATATCTAAATGGATTTAGCTTAAGTAGGAAAAGCTTATAATTGCTGCTCTGGTATTTAAGAAGTATTCTCAGGATCTTCCATAGTTTAAATCTTCAAAATAGCCTCTTTTCTTAATGATTTGTATTACTCAACAAGATTTTGTCTTAATTCTCTTTTGAACTTAGAAATAGTCATTACGTTGTAAAGAATATCATCAAATTCGCAAACTATGAGAATTGCAGAAAAATTAGTGATAAGTCCAAGTGATCCACTTTCACTTAGTTTAGTACAGCAAATAACAGTCGCTACGATCACTTAATTGGTACTAGCAAATAGAAGTTTGATGAAGCTAAACCATGTGATACTTCTGCAAATTGAATTCCAAATCAAGATTAATTTTGAAGTATTTGCAACATTTCCGCTATTAGCTTGATTCTTAATATGCTCTTTTTGTTTGAACATGATTGTTTGGCTCACTGATCTAAAATCTTTACAGAATAAGTAGTATGTAACACACAGCAATAGATATCTTAATGAATAGTACAAAGGATCGTAACATTTGTAGAAATATGCATCTTTGATGAGTTCATATGTCAAAAGAAGGAGACAAAACTCTTAACTTATCGTAACGATAATATTTGTTCGATTCAATATAGAAAACTAATTGCTTCAAAATAAGTACTTATCGCAGCCCTGATTTCTATTACTTACTACTCCTTTATGATAAGTATAGTTATATAATTACTGGACATCCTGAACCAGCTCTACAATCTCTGATTTTGCATCTGGTGGTTTATTTTCTGAAGTATCCTGGATATCATTCATTCTTAAGGTACTCTCAAAAGATATTCCAGTTTTTAACTTTCTGGTAGAGCTAGAACCATTCTATGGCAAATTATTTGATAAATTCCTGAGTGTGTTGTCTAGATTGAAATTGAGTGTGCTTTAGTCAACCTATATCGATCCTAAATTCAATGATCTGTCTTGATATTTGTACTAAGACTCATCATTTTGCATTACAACATTAGAATCCCAATCATCTTTGTCTATATATTCATCTGTCTTTTATCTTTACTCCATTGTATATTGTGGAAATGGCAACAATTTATTTGGTACTTAATAATATAATTAGTAATTTTATTTTACCAGTTACAAAATAAATTTTATTTCTTTCATTATTAAAAGCAACATTTTGTCTCCTGGGGTTTTGGGGTTTTGGGG